AGATTTGATGACAGCTCTTCACAGATTTCTCAGCCAAGATTCACTTCACATCATGAAGAGTGTAAATTACCAAATAACTCAGCTTATTACTAGTCGTAAGAAACATGACTAGCCTCAGCGCTTCGGGACGGACGTGGTCAGTCTGCACTGCTAGTACGCGGCGTTTTTAATCACGTGCAGTTTAAGACCGATGGCCTAAAACTCTCGTCACGCGGCTGTGACCGGGCTTAGTGAAAGGCTGTGGGCTGCCGTTGGTTGTGTTTCTGTCGTGAGAAGCTCACCGCCTCGAAAATCTTCGGATTCGCTGGTCGCCTCTTCTAAGGACTTGCCATTTAGGGCGTCCGCGATAATAGCGTTAAAAAGCCCTGCCGATCTAGGAGGCTCATTATTTGTGGATTTCCGAACTAAAGCTTCAGAGGTCAGCGGAGAATGTTGGTGCGACACACGCCAGGGATCCAGCCGGGTTTCCTCCCGCCGAGAGGAGCAGCGGCTTTGGGGTAAGGTCGAGTATCGCAGGCATAGGCCTCGCACGCCGTGTGCGCACTATAGATTACACCAGCTGACCAGCTGACAGGTGTGAGATGAAACGCGTGTTATTACCATTTATGGTATATAACTCCCGGCATTTACAAATGTCTTGTGCAACTAGTGATACCAATATCGCATGGGTTTCAAACTAAACTCCATTGATTGAGGCCATGTCAGGAAGGGTAGGGTCTACGCCGACAATAACGGTGACATGCGAAGATAGTGCAGGTCGGCAATGCCTCCGACTGATTGTGCGATGACGTCACTAGACCAGAAGTGCTGTTAGTTTCAGGTGCTTGTAGAAGTATGATAATCGGTAGATGTATGGCTACATAGATGCAGTTTTGCAAAACACACAGGGGCGAAGGAGGGAGGGGGCTCAAGAAGAAAACTGCTGAGCCCGCCTCCAAAACACGAATCAAAGTTTTCTCCCCTTGATGTGGCCCACTTTCATGTCTGAGTTGGGAGCGGGGACGAAGCTGCTCAAAATTGGTTTGCGGTGCTCCGAACTCTCAAAAATGATGAGGGATGAAAAATGATGACTGAAAATGATAAAAAGAAGTAGCAAGCTGCATCATATGGATGGGAGGCACAATCCCACAGGGTTGAAAGACGTACCTTTCTTGTCACTGACGAAATTTTGAACAGTCTCAACAGTCACCTGAAGCCAAATCTTTCAGAAACCGTTGCAGTGTAACTCTTAATGTCATAGAACACAAAAACAAACGCAAATGAAATGCAATGCAACATAACCATCAAACATTTTTGTCCCGGGAGTTCCTTTACACTTAAGTATCATTTGCTGGCCGTCAAACCCGGAATTTTGATTGGGACTTAACTAATAAATTTATTAGATAAGGGCATTAATAACCTTTAGGCTGGTTGCTTAACATGATCAGCCTAGAGACATGTAGTTTCCTATTCAGTTATTAGGGGGAGGGGAGGGGAGGGGAGGGGGGGGGATTGTGCCTCCTAACCAGGGATGCAATTTCCTATGTTAAGTTATCATTTTTGTCCATTATCCATCATTCATCATAATTTGTGGGGTTCAGCCCCCAAAACTGATTTTGAGACACTACACCCTTGTTCCCAACTGTGAAAAGAAAATACGTCAAATCTAGGGAGAAAGCTGTTTTAAGTGTATTTCGAAGGCAGACTCAACCATTCTCTCTTCTCGTACCCCTCCCTCACTCACCCCCACGTATTTTGCAAAACTGCATGCATCCCTGTAGCCCCACAATTACCGACATAGCTCTACAACCACCTCAAAACAAAGTCACTTTTCTTTTTGTGACCCCCGCGTACAATCAAAAGGAGGCGTTAGCGACCTTCACAATCTCGGCATAGTTATGGCCGGTGCAAAACCCGCACTTTTTAACGTGGTCTTAACTATTTAGTGTAAAACTCATGCAATATTGATATCAACAGCTGCCAACGACATTTTTGAACATCTCTAGCACCTTCATTTGGCTTTATATGCAACATGATGACAATTGAAAGCGTTTTATCTCACGCCTGTCCACCGATCAGTACGCTAAGCCGGAGGGGAAACGTGCAATGTGAGAGGCTTATCCCAGCGATGCTTGGCTTCTTACCTCAAAGCCGCTGTTCATTTCAATAGTAGGTGGCGCCGGATGAATCCTTGACATGTATCGTTCCAGCTTCCGTTTACCTCTGAAGCTACACTTCAGGTATCCACAAACAGCATCCCTTCGGGATCGGCAGGGCTTTTTAATGCTATTACCTTAAAAACTGACGATCAGCTACGTTCTTCTAGCCAGTCAGCTTCTCACGACATGGACGTAACCAACAGCAGACCACAGCCTTACACTGAACCCAGTCCATTCCCGCGTGGCGAAGACACGAGCCCACCTGCCTCAAATGACACGACGCTTTAAAACGCTGCGTAGCAAACTGATCACATTCAGCGCAAGATGCTGTGGCCAGCCACGGTTCTTACGACTAGTAATAAGCCTAGTTCTTTGGTATTTTCCACTGTTGAGTGTGTGGAGTGAGCCTTACGTAGGTTGCCGCGTGCACTTGCGAGGACCGATATGCACATCCACGAGTGCATACGGGTGAGAGTTCTGCTGTGTGCGATTACGGGGTGTGCGCTGCCCAAATGCTAATAAGAAACTGGCGAGTTTGGCCCTTGAGCGACGCAGAAACCAGAATCGTTGCTTACTGCTAAACAAGGTCGCCATGTATTAAAACGTATATATAGCCCCAGCGCCAGAAGTCCAAAACTGGCTGTTTTTCCGGATTGGGAAGTACAATTTCCCAGGCGTGGATAGAAGAGGTCAGAAATATGAATTCTGACTATTTTGGAAAGCTATGAAATTTCATTTCAGGTACTGCAGTTATGGAGATAGGCTATAACTGTGGTTATAGACGTTATCCGTGGTGTGAAAAGAGACTAATTATCAACTTAAGGTAATGCAGTTGTAACATAAAAAAGTGTACGACCAATGGCAGAGCTGTGATGGATGAATTAAATTCTGTAAGAGTTTATTCTCCAACACTGGCGTCACCCAGCATGTCCTGAGATAGTGCACGGGGTTTTGTTATGTGTCATTTATGATCGTAGTGCGACCGCTGACCAAACATGCTCTCGCCTTTCTCCATGCATGAGACGCCTTAAGTTTGAACCGAACTGACGTGCTCACCGGCCTTAAGCTCGCTGCGCCGGCCACTCATGCACAAAGACCTACTCTTTAATCACCGGGTGCTTTTGGCATGGCCAGAAAACGATACTTAAGTGCAAATGAACCTTCGCAACGCAAATGTTTATGATCTTAGTCTCATTGCCTTTCCTTTATCTTTGTTTTGTGTGGTTCGTCGTTTTTATAGTAATATTGCAGCGGTTCCTGATAGATTTTGCCCCACGTGACAAAGTAGGCTGTTCCGAATTTCGTCGGTGACAGTAAAGACACTTTCACCACTGTGTACTACCACCCGATTTCTTCGAGGTTTTGGGGTTTGATGGGCAGGCTTGACTGTCTTCTTTGCTTCTGAATATCTAGGAGCCTCTAAACATCTTGGAAACCGTCTGAACGTTTTGAGACGATCTATTCTTGTTTAGGCTCAGTTGGCACCCAAGGTTCTCCAACATATAAAGTCAAGGATCCACCATTGGGCCCTCTGACTGGCTGCAGGCCCGTTGGTGGCATTGGAACCCTTGACTTAGCCTATTCCTTTTGTCAGGTTGTTTGTGTTAGGCCAGCCAATATGTATCTCAGTACATGTCGGCCACTTTGGGAATACTGGCTCTATTTCAAGATATATACGCTTGCTGACTGTTCCTGGTCATTCTGTGCCCTTTTGGCACACTTTTGTGCCATTTTGGCATGCTTCTGTGTCCTTTTGGCACCCTTCGAGCCTTGGGTTGACATTACAGAGGTGGTGTCTACGTGTTTTGAAAGCTTACAGTGGTGCGGCTGTCGTCAAATCTTTTATATTTGGTGCAGAAAGATGTACCACTTTGTAAACACGCATGGGATAGTGCTTTCAGCAAAAACAGAATTATGAAATTTATGGTCCATCTTTCGGCCCTGAAATAAAAAAAACAAATTCGCCTGCTTGTGGGGCGCCTTGGCAATGCTGTGTTCCTCATGTTGTTTTTTATGACAGCTCCTTCAACTCCAACATCGCAAACTTTCCGGCGCACCAAAATTGCATTCCCTTATCCGTTCAAGTTCACGAAGGCTTTTCGTATCTCCTTTTAACCAGCGCAAAATTAAAGTTCTATCCCCGTCGCATGGTCTCTCAATTACACTGATGCGACACTGTTTTTTGCGTCTCATTACCATCTGATTTAAAAACTCGGTGAGTGCCAAACACGTAGTGCCACCAGTGAGTGCATGTTGGGTAATAGATGCGTAAAAATCGCCAATGCTACTTAGATATCGAGTAAGAGAAAAAAGTCCGTGAAAGGCGATCACTTGGATGGCGGTCCAGCGTCGACGCACCAAGCAATGCTCGGCACATAGCCCACGTGGCCGATCCGAGAGGGTTTCGATATGTCTTCGGACATACCCAACAGGCTGCCCTGGCGGCCTGGGAAGGGGCGGGGCTCGGGTGGGGCACCGCTCCCAGGTCCGCCCACGCCCCACCGGTGCGTCAGCGGCCGGCCGCCAGCCAGCGCTCCCACCGCCGCAGTCACCAGCCACCCGACGCCCACACTGCGCATGCGCAGGTCGGCGCAGAAGCGACTCCGGCGGGAGCTCCCTTCCAAGCAGACTTTGACACCAGTGCACTGATTCGCCGATACCGTTCCCACCAACTTATCCTTTCCCTGCCAGCTGGCTTCGAAGCTCCGGTCAGACTATGCAGCGGGCCTGCGGTTAGGCGGGAGGGGGGGGGGGGGGGGCGGGCCGGGGGCGGCCGGTGGGCACGCTGGTGCCGCCCCTGCGCCGGCGCCGGTGACGCGCCGGACAGCGGGGCCGGGCCAGGACATACCGAGGTACGTGGTGGCCGGTGGAGGCCGCGCCCGCCCCTAGCGCGTGCAGACAAGAATGTGGTCACTGCTTCTGGTCGCCCACCATGCCCTGCTCTGCAGCGATGGCTGAGTTTGAGGTGAGGCTGCGTGCAGGGGAGAGGCGTTGTGGGCCAGCGGTGTTGGCGGAGGGCTTCGGGTGGCATGGTTTCGTCGTTACTTACATTATTCTGTAGCGCCGGCGCTGCGTGGTGAACGGAACGTGCGTCGACGTCGACGAGTGAGCGCTGTGTGTCGACCGAGGCCCTGCAGCGCCACACGTGCGTGTCCCGGAGACAAGTGTCGGGCCGAATGCTTCGACTCTGGCTTGTTTTCGTTCTCGGCGAGCCGCCTCGCCAACACCTGCCTTCCACACGTGTTTGTGGGGACGCCTCGATAAAGCCATCGCCGATCCCACGCACCTCTTGCCATTATGGAGGTGGATCCGTGACTCATTGAAAGGCGGCTAGTGCGGAAATAATTCCGAAAGTTGCATAACGAACGCTTCACCCCGGTGGGCATAAACTCTAGTGGGTAGGTTCTCCCACACGGCGAGCAGCCGCCTACCAGGGAATAATGACGAATAAGGGAATAACGAGATTTTAGAGTGGGTTAACGGACATATGGATCAAGAATGAATGCCGTTCAACAAGTTTTCAAATGCTCTGATGGTTATGTTCTTAAATGCATTAACAGAGGTTTCTGTGAGCATCGACAGTGACCGCGCAACATCATGCACTGCAGCCACACCACTGAGCTTCCGTTGTATTTTTAATGCGTGTCATCGGGGCCTTTAGTTGACACGGTGTTCTGTATAGGTTTGCACGTGCCGCCGCGCTGCTCACGTGGACAACCATGGTGAAGCGTGCGCCCAGCCACTAATGCAAGTGGTTCGCATGTACGTGTGCGGAAGTCACTAAATCAAAATCTCGTGTGGCGTCACGTGCCAAGGAGCCACAGAATGTCCACTACAGTTTCATTACACTGAAGCCCGCTTACGCGTCTGGCCGCTGGTGAGCCCGACAGGCCGGGCGCGGCCGCGGGCTACTCGCGGGAGGCGGTCGAGCACGCGTCGTCGGCCGAGCACCGTCACGTGGACGACACTGCAACGGAGACGGCAGCGGATTGACCGGCTTATAGGTGGCGCTGACGGACCGCTGCCGGTCCTCTCGCCCGATCGTCGGCTCTTCCTGAGAACACGCGCTGCAGGGGGAGTTGAAGGGAATGCTATATGAAAAATTGCGGCAATACAGCCTTTGCTCGCTCGTGATCGCAATGCTTGCAACGGGGCAACCATTTGCGAAGGACGGTATGCGTGACCTTTGGTGGTCGAGCTGATCAATGGGCGAGGATGGTATGGAAAGGCAAGAAAAGAGTTCAGGTGTATGACCGGGAGAACTGTCCTCGCATATGCACCGAACGGGGAAAGACCTGTGGATTTTATTCATTGCGGCCGCACGGTCTATCCTGAGGCCTATCCTTACAGTGCATCCATCATATATGTTCAGAGAATTAATCAAGATTAAGTCATCAGTCAGTAGTAGGTCATCAGTTATTTTTTTCTAATCTCACTGTTTCAATGGATTTCTCGTCTGTTACTAGTCACATGTAATGATATTGATAGCCTGATAATGTTGAAAACTTTGAGGTAATGACTGCATCGCAAGCAGTAAAACTTGCTTTATGATTTAATACTTTAATAAACGCTGGTATTCCTTTCGTATTTGCATCTATTTTTAAGAGCTGCTACTTTCAAACTACTAGCTTTTGTAAACGCTATCTTAAATGTGAGCAGTGTTTGTGCATGTTAAGAAACTATCGACTCGTTGAAAACAGTTTAATTAACCTGACATGATATATATATATATATATATATATATATACACATACACACAAATATATTATATGCATATATCGCACGACAATTCTCGACATTCTCGACAAACGGGCGCCGATAGTCCACCGTTTACAAGGAATAAGAGATGCATGGATCTGCCGTCTGTGAGACCCGGGAGGCAGAGGCCTGCCACCTCTGCTAAGCGTTGTTGTAGACCTCTGGAAATGCATCGGATTACAGAGTGTTTTTTGAGTCCAGTATGCATGCCATGCGTCGTAAGTCTGGTTTATTTTTTGGTCGAGGAAGGGTCCGGCCCACAACCCTCCTGAATCTCCAGCACTCCTGCTGAGACACGGGCCCCAGGGGTCTGCTGTCTCTGAGACACGGGCCCCAGGGGTCTGCTGTCTCTGAGACACGGGCCCCAGGGGTCTGCTGTCTCTGAGACACGGGCCCCAGGGGTCTGCTGTCTCTGAGACACGGGCCCCAGGGGTCTGCTGTCTCTGAGACACGGGCCCCAGGGGTCTGCTGTCTCTGAGACACGGGCCCCAGGGGTCTGCTGTCTCTGAGACACGGGCCCCAGGGGTCTGCTGTCTCTGAGACACGGGCCCCGGGGGTCTGCTGTCTCTGAGACACGGGCCCCGGGGGTCTGTGGTCTCTGATACACTGGCTCAGAGGCCTTGCTGTCTTTGCCGGAGGCTTTTTGAAGAAAGGAAACCAGGGATTTCTCTCCGAGAAATGCAATATTGGGACCCTTGTCCTTATTTACCAATATTAAACTGATGAGTCATACCGGATGGATCAGACCAATCAGAATTGGACGACCTGCATTAGGATCAGGAGCTGAAATGTATCCTTTTATAATACATGCCTATGTTTCTACATGTAATATAAATAAGACCAAATTACTCTGCCAATTTGTCAAAAATTGAAATAGAGCAAAAACCGTAAGTTTGCATCGGAAACATCTTGTACGCAACGAAAGAATACCTGACTTTCGATACACACTGTATTTCGTCCAATACCCGAATTGGGATCAGGTCGTATACTGGGACTTAATCAGTAATTGCCTCGGGTAAATTTTGGTTCAAGCAATTGATTGACATTGGTAACATCTGCTGTTGTTATAGCTAGCATGTCACTGTACCCACCAGTCATAGCGGTGATCGATCACCTCAAAATTTGCGCATATGATGATTTGGATACAGAAGCCATTAATGCCACGCAGGCGCAGCATTGGAAGCAACATGCCTTATGTTAACCAGGGACGATAAAGTATCAGTGATGAAGCGATTTGATCCATCAGCTGAGTAGGTGCACATTCACTTGTACTGTGAGTTTCGCGGACAAACGCGATCTGTTGGGATGGAATGCCCAACAGCCTATTCAAACATCTTTGCAGATTATAAAACAACGCCCTGCGCTGTTGTGTTTCTGCCATTCAGCCTGCGGGCGGATTTCTTCGGATCCAGCACAAACCGCCATGCTCTGGTATATCCATCCCGAGTACGTCGGCAGGATGCCGTCTACGTCTGTGGAGTATGCGTTCAGCGGGCCCAGTTGACTTCGTATAACTCGATTTCTGCTTGACCTTAGTCTCGTTTGATCACTTAGAACATACCCAAGGTGAGCCTCATTTATCACGGCTTTGGATAGAAATGTGAGCAAGCTCCGGCAGGTGACCAGCTCTTCAGAGCCACACTCACGAATTGCAAATTCGGCCTTCTGACAGTTGGATAACGTGGCGGGTGGTACATTGACGACTGTCGGCGTTCAGTCGTCACTCATCCTCGTCGTTTGGCCCTGGGCCGCCTCAGCTCATGGCCCTGCCAACCTTTGAACAGGGCGCACTATCGTCGTTATGGCAACGGCGCCGTAGTGACATCTGTGCGCCATGCATGAAACTTTCGTATCCAGCCGGGCTGGCAGTGTGCGCCGGCCTCTGACGCGCGTTTTTGTGCCAATATCGGGCGCGCTAGCGCCACCGATCCGTGGCGGCGGCGGCGCGAACTAAAAACTCGATGCGCCGTCTGCTACTGGGAGCGCGGTACGTCGGGCGGTGCGCCGACCCCTGCCCGGCTCGATGGGCGGGACATCTGTCCTCGGGACGGCAGCCTCGCAGCGCGCGGGGCGCCGCACGCTGGAGCGCCGGAGCCGCGGCGGCTCGTCTCCTCCATGGAAAAATCTAGACGTGCAGCGAACGCGCTGCAGGACCACCCGGCAACCTGGAATATTCCATTGCTGCTTGTTCAAGCCGAATGTCCTCGTCCTCGTGCGGCCAGGCTCCGGACAGTTGAGGCCCGTTGCGGCTATCCCATTCTGGGTCATTTTGTCTGAGCGGCGCAGCGGCCCGCGCGCTGGCCAGCCGGCGGGAGGTGAGAGTTGGCGGCTGGCGCTGGCAACCTTGGACCCGGGGCCGGCCGCGGCCGGCCGAGGCTCGGGCGTCCGAGCGCGGGCGGCGTTGGGGCTCGGGACGCCGGCCGCGGCCCCGGCGGCCGACCCTCCTTTCACCAGCGCCTGCCGCCGCCTGCCGCCCGGCCCCAGCGGCGAAAACAAGGGGCGCGTTCAGAGGGGGCCGCCGTTGGAAGGGGGGGGGGGGACAGGACGCGCTGGGGGAGCGTGGGCCGCAGCTGCAGCAGAAGGCAGTCGGCTCGCCGGCGCCCAGCAGTGACAGGCGGGAAGGGACGGGACGGACGGGACGGACGAGTGGGGATCCGCTTCAGGGGTGCGAGACGCCAATATTATATCCGCTTGCGATTGAGCATTGAGACTGCTTCATAATTGGGCTGTGAACCGACTGCTCGTCAATTCGAAACAGGTTTTTGCGCCCTGCTATGCTCAAAATTAGTATTTGTAGATATCTACGTGAGATACCTGTACTGATCCAAGTCCTGTGCTACATTCGGTTGAAGCTTCAGCATAGGTTGATTTTAGAACCCGCTTCGAATCGATATACTTTTGCAAAATGTCTGCCGTTATGGCACTGCCCCCCACTCCCTCCATCAATGGAAAAATTGAACGTAAGCGTTATTCAGACTTACACAACTTCGTCCAAACCGGGGATTTGTGTACCAAACCAAGCGGGCATATGGCGGAGCATTGGAAGTTGTCCGGTTTGAGGAGGGATTTTCTATACGCTCTCCCACGTTCGATGTCCACACACCAGGGCGTAACCGCACATTCGTGGTTGCTGGGGTTCGGAGACTGAGTCTGTAGTATCCGCTGTGTTGCCATATCCTATGAGCACGACACAAAATATCCTAATCT